TGTCTGCATGCCAGCAAACACCGGGACCATACGCTGCCATGCTTTGTTATGCAATGATTCCAGACTACGTGCTACTGGCCTGGCGTGGTAAAGTGTCCTACCATGGCGGACGGGATAAGGCAGCCCTCCCCAGAAACCTTTTGCAAAGGCTTTGGGAGTACATGAAGGAGAGCTTTCTGGAGATGTCCCTGGAGGATTTCCGCTCCATCCCCATACACGTTAACAGACTTTTCCAGTAGCTGTACTGGCCGCGATTGCCAGGGCAAATTAATCATTAATCATTAAACACGCTTGTTTTTAAACCATGTGTAATTTTTGCAAAGGTACACTCACCAGAGGTCCCCTGTGTGCCCTCAGGGTCTTGGGTCAGTTCGGGGGTTACTGTTTCCAGGTCCAGGGTGACAAACATATCCTGGCTGTTGGGGTAACTGGTTTCTCCGCTTCCTTGCTGCTGTGAGCTATCTATGTTCTCTCCATCCTCATCTTCCTCGTCCGCCGAACCCGCTTCCCCGTTTGCAGAGAGGGACTCATAGAACACGCTTGGGCTAGTGGTGGCTGCACGCCCTAGAATGGCATGCAGCTCCGCGTAGTAGCGGCATGTTTGCGGCTCTGCCCCGGACCTTCCGTTTGCGTCTCTGACTTTGTGGTAGGCTTGCCTTAGCTCCTTAATTTTCACGCGGCACTGCCGCGCGTCCCTGTTATGGCCTCTGTCCTTCATGGCCTTGGAGATCTTTTCTAATGTTTTGCCGTTTCTTTTACTGTTTCGGAGTTCGGCGAGCACTGCTTCATCTCCCCAGATGGCGATCAGATCCTGTACCTCCCGTTCGGTCCAGGCTGGAGCTCTTCTGCGATCCTGGGACTGGGACTGGGACTCCATCATGGTTACCTGTGCTGATGGGCTCTGCATGGTCACCTGTGCTCTCCACGCTGAGCAAACAGGAAATGAAATTCAAACGTTCGCGGGGCTTTTCCTGTCTACCTGGCCAGTGCATCTGAGATGAGAGTGCTGTCCAGAGCGGTCACAATGAAGCACTGTGGGATAGCTCCCGGAGGCCAGTAATGTCGAATTCCGTCCACACTAACCCAATTCCGACCCCCTAAGGCCGATTTTATCGCTAATCCCCTTGTCGAGGTGGTGTTAGGAAACCGGTTTAAAGGGCCCTTTAAGTCGACAGAAAGGGCTTCGTAGTGTAAACGTGTCCAGGCTTAAGTCGATTTAACGCGGCTAAAGTCGACCTAAACTCGTAGTGTAGACCAGGCCCAAGAGACTAACAAATGTATTTGGGCATAAGCTTTCGTGGGCTAAAACCCACTTCATCGGATGCATGCAGTGGAAAACCCCATTTTTTCCAGTCTCTGCTCATCGGCTGTGTTTTCTAGACCTTTATTCGTACTCGAGTATGGGCCCACTTGAGATCAACTGGTGACGGCCCATGTGCCTGAGTCTGCGGAGAGCCTGAGCCCATTGCTCGGAGATGAGGGAGCTGCTCTGAATATGCTTCCAGGGGGCAGGACTGGAGCATCCAAACCAAAGGCAGCTGGGCTTGGATGGCTGGGAGGTGGGCAGTGTCGGTGGGGGGGTGGTTTCCAGGTAGCCCCTTCTACAGCTCCACAGCGCCCCCTGCATGTGATTCTGAAGGGGGATGCTGCGTCCCCACGACTGGTGATCAAACATAAAACAGTTTTGCAGCAAATTGTTGCCCTGGGCTCCGGGCCGCGGGTGTGTGTGTGTGTGAGATGCTGGCGAGAACGGAGGAGCCGTGTTGCGCATGGAGTGGGGTGGGAGGCGTTGGCCAAACACTCCCAAAGCAGGGTGAACACTCATTAGGGCTGAGTTTTCACTGGAGACCTGGGACTTTGCTGTGAAGTGGGGCTTGGAGGGGAATCGGGTGCAGAGAAGAGCCCCAGAAAGGAACTGGGGGCTGGAGTGAAAACATTGCAGTGGGAGACGAAGCTGTTTAGTGTCTCCAAGAGCATCCGAGAAGTGTGGGGCTGGAAGGGACTTGGAGAGGGCATCAAGTCCTGCCTCCAGCACTGAGGCAGGGCCAAGGAAAGCTAGCCCAGCCCTGAGCGGTGTGTGTCCGACCTGCTCTCAGAAACCTCCAATGACGGGGATCCCACAACCTCCCTGGAAGCCTGGTCCCGAGCGGAGCTACCCTGAGAGTTAGAAAAGTTTTTCCTAATTCCCAGCCCCTTGCTGCAAGCTAAGCTGCTTCCTTCTGGTCCCCCCTTCGCTGGACACGGAGCACAACCGCGCGCCGGCCTCTTTAGAGAGACCCTTGTTCTCCCATCCCAGCTCAGCCTTCTCTTCCCCAGGCTGAACGCAGCCAGGGCCTGCAGCCGCCCCTCGCTGGCACCTGAACGGGTTTGTCCTCGGACATGGGGGAAGGGAGTGTGCATAAAAGAGATTTATGTCTACACTGAGCCCTGCTAGGCCCTCCCCCCAACCCACTAGACCTCACTTCCCTCCCAGAGCCGGGGACAGAAACCAGGAGTCCTAGCCCCCATCCCCCCCACTTTAACCCACTAGACCCCACTTCCCTCCCAGAGCCAGGGAGAGAACCCAGGAGTCCTGGCTCCCAGCCCCCTGCTCTAACCACTAGACCCCACTCCCCTCCCAGAGCTGGGGACAGAAACCAGGAGTCCTGGCCCCCAGCCAGGGCCAGCTCTAGGTTTTTTGCCGCCCCAAGCAAAAAAAAATGTGGCCGCCCCCCCCCCTTCTTTTTGTCTTTTACACGTTTGTACTTTGCAATTCTTTTCGTTTTGTTTTGTTTTTGACTGTTTAAAATTAAAAAAAAAAAGAAAACAGAATTTGTAGTTAGTGAAATAAAACAATTTCCTACTAGTGTACTCATTTACTCACTGGGCACACTGGCCGCGGGCTCAGCCCGCACAGCGGCACGAGGTCGGCTCAGCCCGGGCTGCTGCTCCCCTCCCGGGCAGGAGCCGGCGCAGAGGGGAGGCGGGGACAGGCCGAGGAGGAGCCCGCAGCCGGCGCTGGAGGAGCGGCTCGCCTGGCCGCCATGTTCCGCCGCCACCCCCTGCGCTCCGTGACTGGGGCAGGGCCACGCTACCGGCTCCTGCCTGAGGGGGGTTGGCCGCTGCCCATGGGAGAGTGGCAGAGACACGCTCCCCACTGAGCCAGCTCCCCCTGCCCCACCGCACAGCCCCGGCGGCACCCGGTCAGAGAACAACAGGTCGGTCAGGATCCAGCCCAGGACACTGCCTCAGGTTGGAGCTGGGGCCCCAGCATTATGCTGCCCCTAGTCATTTGCCACCCCAAGCACCTGCTTGTTTTGCTGGTGCCTAGAGCCACCCCTGCCCCCAGCTCCCCCACTTTAACCCACTAGACCCCACTCCCCTCCCAGAGCCAGGGAGAGAACCCAGGAGTCCTGCTTCCCAAACCCCCCTGCTCTAACCAGTAGACCTCACATCCTTTCCAAAGCCAGGGAGAGAACCTAGGAGTCCTGGTTCCCAGCCCCAACCAAGAAACCCCACCCACTTCCCTCCCAAAGCCAGGAATAGAACCCAGGAGTCCTGGCTCCCAGCGCCCCCCACTCCCCTCCCAGAGCCAGGGAGAACCCAGGAGTCCTAGCTCCCCTCCCAGTGGCTATTAATATCCTCCCCTCTGGCTACACCCCTCCCACGCCCTGGTAGCCAATCTCCTCGGGTGTCAGAGCCCGGCTGCTGGTCATGAGGATATAGAAACCACCTGACTTTACTTTCGTTTACCCAGGCGGAAATCTTGGGCGCTGGCAGAGCGAGCTGTGGGGCAGGTAAGGGGGGGGTAACTACCATCCCCGGGGGGCAGACTCGCTCCCTCCAGTCTATCCCCCCCCCACGGGGCAGGCTCGTCCATTCTGCCCATCCAGACACCCCACCTGAGATCTGAATTGCTGGTTTCAAAGCAGTGGCAGCTGGGAGGCAGCTAAGGTACTTCCCAGCCACTCCCTGGCCTCTGCCTGGCGCCCGGCCCCGGCCCCACCAGCGCAGCCCCGCGGATCCCCGCGCAGCGAGCCGCGCCCGGCCGCCAATCCCCAGATCTGCTTTAAAAATCCCGAGAGGCTGAAAATCCCGCTGCCCCCAGGGCACTTGCGCCCCGGAGCGGAGCGGACGGGGGCGCAGATCGCAGCGGGCTCTCCCCAGGTGTGACGGCTGGGGACACGGGATTTCCTCCTTCAACAGAGTCGGGAATTAGTAGTGTTTAGTGCCAGGGAGCCCGGACTCCTGGGTTCTCTCCACAGCTCGGGGAGGGGAGGGGGGCTATTGGGTTACAGCAGAGAGGGCTTGGAGCCAGGACTCCGGGTTCTCTCTCCAGGAGGGGAGTGGGGGCTAGTGAGTTAGAGCAGAGGGGGCTGGGAGCCCGGACTCCTGGGTTCTCTCCCAGTTCTGGGAGGAGAGCTGGGAGCTGGAACCTCTGGGTGCAGTGGGACTGTGGAATGAGGCACTGGCCAAAGAGCGTTTGCTCATTTCTTGGGGTGCTAGTGGGGATGGGGTGTGTGTGTCCCCAGTACACAAGGACAGCACTGGGGAACTCAGAGCTCAAGAAGTGGGATTAAGACATGTCATGTCCCATCCCTGCCCGGTGCCTCAGTTTCCCCCTCTGCCAGCCCTCCTTTTTGAGTACAGTGGGTGTGAGGGGGTTAATCCATTCATGTCCTGTTGTCTCAGTTCTCCAACAGAGTTTGGCTTTAGCCCGAGCCCAGGAGGAGGGGAGATCCATCAACTGGAGCCTGGCCTGTCACCCGCTGCATTATGGGAAATGCAAATAATAAAGGGTAAGTGCCCCAGTCCCACCCAATTCAGGTGTAACCTATTCCAGAGCTGGGGCTAGAGCCCACGAATCCTGGCTCCCAGCCCCTCCGGTCTATCCCCTACACCCCAATCCTCTGCCCCCTCCTAGAGCTGGGATAGAACCCAGGAGTCCTGGCTCACAGGCCCCCTGCTGTGTGTCTCCCAGGCCAACCCCACCCCCCTCCCCGAAGCCAACTTCAGAGGGGATGTTGAAGCGACTCCAGGAGGACATCACCTGCTCCATCTGCCTGGACATCTTGGAGGACCCCATCTCCATCGAGTGCGGCCACAACTTCTGCCGGGGCTGCCTCTCAGCTCACTGGAGTGGGGTCTCAGCCTGGGGGTCCCAGTGCCCCGAGTGCCGGGCTCCCTGCTCCAGGGACAGGATGACCCCAGACACACGTGTCAAAAGCCTGGTGGAGAAAATCAGAGACCTGCCATGCAAAGAGACACTGACAGCAACAGTGACAGCAAGCTCTGAGGTGGGTGCAGCCATGGCTGGTCCAGAGATGCAGCCACCTCTGGGGTGGGGCAGCTGGGGAACAGCCACATGGCTGCACCCTACAGCACAGCACCCCCTAGCCCCACACTGGGGCCCTGGGGTCAGAGGGAAGGCCGGCTAACGGGATTCCTGTGTCCCTTTAGCAACTGGTCAGGTCTCTGGGCTGATAAGGGGGGAGCTGGGCACACACGACTCAGATCTACTGATCAGAAATTAACCACCGAGCAAACAGCCTGTGACTCCAGCCATGGGGCCCCGGTGAGGGGGCTAGCTGGCTGGAAGGTGGGGTGTGGGGGGGAGAGGATGGGACATGGGGCCTTTCCACTCTAGGGGGCACTGGCTTGGATCTGGCCCATGGTGGGACTGGTTGGTTCAGGGGATGGGAATGGGGTACTGGGCTCTGATCTGGGGGACAGGGGACTCACCAGCTCACGGGTGGGGTCCGATCTCTGACTCTGCTGTCTCTCTGCAGCAGGGGCCGGGGGCTCAGCTGGAGCCGGGCCGCCCGGTGCAGCTGGTGCATCTGGACAAGGAAGGGGGCCTGACCCTGGATGAGGAGGCCCTGAGCCGCTGCCTGGAGCAGGGTGGGGTGGAGGACGCCCCCGTCTGCCTGGTGTCCATCATCGGGGAGCAGCGCCGGGGAAAATCCTTCCTGCTGAACTACCTGCTGCGTCGGCTCCGGAGCCCGGTGAGTGGAGCCCTGATCCCCTCCCGGAGCTGGGGAGAGAACCCAGGAGTCCTGGCTTCCAGCCCCCCCGTTCTAACCCACTAGACCCCCACTCCCCTCCCAGAGCCGGGGAGAGAACCCAGGAGTCCTGGCTCCCAGCCCCCCCCGTCCTGACCCAGTGGGGAGCTGTGTGTCCATCTAGACCGAGTGTTTGTTTAGATTTCACCGAGTTTCTGTGTGTCTGTCTCAGCCTGAGTCTGCCTGTCCATCATCTTTCTAGCATGCCGGTCCCCACGCTACCTGCCTGCTAATAAAATACCCACAGTCCCCCTGCCCCGCTGCACTAATTGCCCCTCCCCTCATGTCTCCCTCCCCCCAGGATGTGAAGGACGGATCCTGGATGGGCCGGGAGGAGGAGCCCCTGGAGGGGTTCGAGTGGCGAGTTGGCGCCCGCAGCGTCACCAAGGGGGTGTGGGTGTGGAGTCAGCCCTTCTGGGTCCCCACCGAGTGGGGGAAGGTGAGTGGGAAGGGGGGGGGAAAGGGGGTGGGGGGATGAGTGACCCCAGCAGATCTCTACTTGGGGGAACAGAGCAGACGGGCTGGGGGGGCTCTGTGACCGGGGCCTGGGAGGGGAGGCAGGGAATACAGTGCCCCCCAGGGGCTGGGTGTCACTCGGTGCAGGGGGCAGAGCAGGGAGCTGGCATGTGACCCCGGCTTGTGGCTCCCCCCCAGGTGGCCGTGCTGCTGGTCGACACCGAGGGCTCCATGGACATTGCCAGAGACAGGGAGACCAGCATCAAACTCTCCGCCCTCTCCATGCTGCTTGGCTCCTACCAGGTAGGCGCTAGGGGGCGCTGTGCTGTGGGGAGCAGGGCAGGGCTCAACAGGGGGCGCTCTCCCCTGGCAGCCAGGGCTGGTCCCAGTGACCCAGTGCGGCGCTAGGGGGCGCTGTGCTGTGGGGAGCGGGGCAGGGCTCAGCAGGGGGAGCTCTCCCCTGGCAGCCAGGGCTGGCCCCGATGCCCCAGGTTGGCACTAGGGGGCGCTGTGCTGCGGGGAGAGGGTCATGCTGGTTTCTGTATCTAACCCTGTCCTCTCTGATTACTTGCAGATCCTGAATGTTTCCAGCCAGATAAAGGACCCTGATCTAGAATATCTGGAGGTGAAGGGGGAGGAGGGCAGGACACGGTGCCATTCTCATACAGCCCCAATGGGGTCATCTGCCCATTCTACAGCTGGGGAAACTGAGGCCCAGAGAGAATCGGTGACTTGCCTGAGGTCACACGGGGAGTCTGTGGAACAGCCAGAGATAGAACCCAGGAGTCCTGGCTCCCAGCCCCCCTCCCGCTCTAACCCACTAGACCCCACTCCCCACCCAGAGCTGGTGATAGAACCCAGTAGTCCTGGGGCCGTATCTAGCAGGGACCAACTTCTGTGCTGCTCCAGGGTCTGGAATTCGCCCCTGCCCGAGCTCCAGGCTTACTGAGAACATGGTGTCACGGAGTGTGGGGGGACACAAGGCCCTGCACCCCCGGCTTCCTGCGATTCACCATGACTCTCAGCCAGCCAGTAAAGCAGAAGGTTTATTTAGACGACAGGAACACAGTCCAAGACTGGTCTTGCAGGCACAGACAACTGGACCCCCCCCCCGCAATTAGGTGCATCTTGGGGTCCCAGGGCACCACAGCCCCCCTTGGGAGGTCAGAGTCCCGTCTGCCTCCCAGCCATTCCACCAGCCAGCCCTGAAAACTCTCTCCCCAGTGTCTCCTCCCCCAGCCTTTGTTCAATTTCCCGTGCAAAAGTGTCACCTGGCCTCTAACCCCTTCCTGGGTTCTCATGTTACATGCTCAGGTATTCTCCCTCGGCCAGTCTCCCATCCCCGAATGCAGACCATCCTAGCCAAACTCCCCTCTCAGCATTCAAAGACCACATTAAGAACAGTCCCAGTTCATCACACATGGGTGTTCTCCGGAGTCTGGGAAAGTCTCAGTATTTGGTATCTTGGTCTAATCTGTTCTACCGTGGAAGGGCACGGGAGGGGGTGGGGGCAAACAGAGCCCCTGGCAGGGCAGCGGGGAACCTTGACTTGCAGTTCTGCTTTTTGGCCACTAGGTGTCTCAGCACCACAGGGGGAAAGCCGTGGGACTGGGGTAACAGAATGAGACCAAGCTGGAGCTGCAACTTTGGGGCAGGGGGCGGGGGGCTGTTGGTAGGATTTCCATTCCTACCCACCCCCAGGGCACACGCTGCCTCCCCGCCCCAGAGATCCTAGCCCCAGACTCACCCCCCTGCTCTCTCTGCTCTGCAGATGTTTCTGCACGTGGCCGAAGAGGTGGGAAAGGAATACGGGCTGGAGTCCATTCAGGTGAGATGACATTTCCCCCACCCTGCCCCTGCCCCACACCCAAGGGGTTCAGCCTTCCCCTCCTGACATCGTCCCGTCTCCCCTGCAGCACCTAGACCTGCTGGTGCGGGATTGGAGCAACTCCACGGTCCTTGGAAGTGACGGTGGGAAGGAGCATCTGAGAGACGTCCAACAGGTGACTGTGGGGCTTGACATGGGGCCTTTGCCCTCTGGGCAGTGCTGGCTCCGATCTGGCCCCAGGGCAAGGGCCTGGCTGGCTCAGGGGACCAGGGAATGGGTCCCGGGGTATTTCCCTCTGTTGATGTCTCACTTTGCTGATTTCCCCTGGCTCTGACAGATGCTGGAGGAGACGTCCCCTTGCAAACACCCCAAGGCCCTGGAAGCACTGAGCAGAAGCAGCACCCGCTGTTACCTGATGCCTTTCCCTGGCAAGCGGATCATGACTGGGAGCCAGGGAAGCTTGAGAGGTAACGGACGCGGGACAGCGGCTCTGAGCCTGGGTGACAGGGCGTCTCCGTCTCTGCCGGCGAACGGGCCATGCTGGGATGCTCCGGCTCTGGGTTCATTGCCATCTCCCTTCCCCTTCGCAGACATGGATGAGGATTTCCGGGACAGCCTGAGGGACTACGTCACCACCCTGGTGGGCTCGGCCAGTCGACACGTGTGGAGGGACCGGCATGGGGCGCTGCTGACCGGGACACAGCTCGCTGCTCGGATAATGGTGGGGACTGGCCAGCTGGGGATGGGGTCTCAGTAGGGGGCGCTCTACCCTGGCTGTCAGTGCTGGCCCCATGCCCCCATGTGGCACTAAGGGGGCTGTGCTGCAGGGAGCGGGGTGGGGGTTCTGTAGGGACGCTCTCCCCAGCAGTCAGGGCTGGCCCCAATAGACCATGGTGGCGCTAGGGGGCGCTGTCCTGCGGGGAGTGGGCTTAGCCCTTTTTGCTGAATTTTTGTTAATTAAGAATTAGGGTTGTATTTATATCCTAGCAGAATCCCAGCTTGGATGGTTCTACTGAGCCTTCCTACATCATCCAGGGAAGTTCTTCATTTCCCC